CCGGTTGTAGGCATCTGTTGCTAATAGTCCCGACGATGAAGCAAGTCTCAGTGGAAAGCGAGTGAAAAGCAGCCTGAGAGACTCCGAGGGGAGAGGAACCTGGTCCGGCGCTTCAGAGCTGGCCACAACTTGGACGTGATCGTAGTACGCGACGGACAGTTCACCACGAGCCAGACTTGCATGCTATCCCCAGCGACCTTTTACGCGTAATCTGCGTGTCAAACACTGTGTTATGGGATGGCGACGCCGCAGCTTTACCAACAAGTCGCCCTACAATGGTCAAAGTCATTCCTCGTGTTGAACCGCGATGAGCCCCCCATCTCCGGGCTACTGTCTTTCAGCCAGGTATTCCCCATACTCCTCGTCACATAGTTATCCGGAACCTGTATTGAATCTACAGCATCAGGCATGGATTCTTGTGAAGGAGGTTCTTCGCCCTCGTGATTTGACAGAGGCCACCCAGCGCGGAACAATCAGTAAGGCCTCCCCTTCGTCTCCGAACCTTACTGAGAGTTGTGCCCCGTAGATTTGACGGACCTCACCATTGCAGCTGACATTATCACAAAATGTAACATGTTGCATGTATTACAAGATGACTTCATGGGTGAGCATGTCAGATATTATGCTCGGGGTCTCTCACTTACAGCCGCACGTATAGATGCTGTACGACAACATCTGCATCTAATTACGCGTGACATAGAGCAACTTATGGGCCAATATGATGTGAGTTATTCACGTCGATTGAGTCCAGAGGACGTTGCGTGAATCAATTCTTTGGAGGTATCATCAGATGTGCAACATATCGCAAAACTCGTGGCTCGACTTTCAGAATGGCATACAGCGTGGAGTCCAATGCAACAGTGAGTAGGAGAGATTTGATTTTGCCTTCTTTATAACCGAAAGTCGATCCAGGTTTGGAAGTAGCATGGCAAATGCGTACAATCTGGCATTCCAAACGCATGTGTACTCAATTCTGCCATCTTCCTTCACGCAAGGTTTCAAGTCACTTGTTACTCTGACGTTCAACCTGGCAGTCGACCATGACGGTTCGGAATGGCTCTTTACTCTCTTCCCCAAGCCAGAGCGGCCATCAGCTCGCGCAGATTCGGCATTGTGGAATGCATTCCAGCAGCTTAGTCTTATCGAGCGATATGAGTCTCTCATCTCTACTATCTGCTATGAATACGTGGAAGGGCACATCCTAGAGACATGCGCCGGCAGATGGGACGAGCCTATGTTGAATGCCATCAGAGAATGGATGGCCAACAAGATTGTACCATGGATGCTTATGCCGTTCGCAAGAGGAGCAAAAACATGTGAGCAACTTCATTACATGAGTGACGAGTCGTACTCATTCCTGTGCAGCCGATGATGCAAAGTCCATGCTTCAGGGGATTGGCTCCCGACTAGATTTCCATGTCTGCAAGACATTGGCCGACTTACGGTAAGCTACATTATCACATTCTCCTCTTGAACGGTTCAATGTTAAGGCTGCGTCTAGTACGAAGGAGATATTCGACATTATTATCGACTACCCTGACTCAACAAACGCACTGAAAGATCTCAAGGTTTGGACAATACATCGTTACTTGCGGATTGGCGAGCTGATCTATACTGCAGGAGTGTTTGGCTCGCGTAGATCAGCGGTCCCAACTTGTTCAGACTCTGCGGAAAGCGTACGTCAAAGCGCAACATACTCGAGACATGTTTTAATTCACTATGCAGAAATAAGCGGCGCCTTTTGCACCCAGGAGCTGATACAAAAGACATTCTCACTCAGTATGTATCCATCATTCGATGTTTACGAATGGTCGATCCTCCGGGAGTGCTGCTATTCAAAGTGGCCGACCCCATACGGCAGTACTTAAGGTTTGTATACCTTTACTTTGTGTCCAGAACGCAATTGACACACATGACTAGATCACGACCGGATACCATCCGTTGCATCGTTGCCAGCCTGGTTGGTGATGGAGAAAGTGGTGACTCGCTTGTGGACGAGAACGAGCCCATTCAACCGCTCCAGCCACTCCAAGCAGAAGACTACTCAGATCCCAATTGGGAGCCGGAGCCCATCGACGCTGGACCAGGTTTGGCTCGCAGTATCCTCTCCACCGTCTGTATGCTCATCAGTCCCCTAGATTTCCGCACCAGTAAGCCGAGCGACGTAATCAGCACCCTTGTCAGTATCTATGACTCGAAGGAGCTTTTCGTCAAAGAACTCCAAGTGTTGTTAGCACAACGTCTTTTGACGATCAAAGATGGCAACTACGATCGCGAAGTAAGTGAGCGACGGGTTGAACTGTGTTCTTTTTAACACTCCTCGCAGCGCCGGAATATCGAGATCCTCAAGATACGATTCGGAGAGGCCGCACTGCAGGTATGCGAAGTCATGCTGAAGGATATGACGGATTCTAGGAGGATCGACCAGCATATTCAATCCAAGAACGCTGTATGTGGACATATCAACCCAGGGGCTCCTTACTCACAACTCCACAGTCAGTCCTCCATCCAACTATCATCTCCAAACAGTTCTGGCCGACGTTACAATCCACCATGTTCGCTATGCCTGGCCAATTCAGAGAGTGCGTTCCATGAGCACTCCCCAATATCCTTACGTCTTTCTTACTGTTTCTCGATCAGCCTTCAAGAGTCATACTCCAAGGAGTTTACTGCGTTCAAACCCGACAAGAAGCTGGCATGGCTCCCGCATCTAGGAACGGTCACACTCGACATTGAGCTCGACGATCGAACGGTCTCTGCGAGTGTTACCCCACTGGAAGCGGGGTTCATCGAGCTATTCACCACCTTTGGTAATTATAATATGCTTCAGAGATGTGCATATAGTTGACTCTTACCGTTCTCAGATACGTGGACTGTGACCGAACTACTTGCGCAAGTTGGCAACGTAGACCGCACCATGGCGTTGAAGGCTATTTCAACTTGGGTCGATCTGGGGGTCATCAAAGAGAGCGGGTCGGATGAATACACGTTGCTCAATATTGCAGAGGCTAATGACGGTGAAATCAAATCGCGGGCTCGTGAGTTATTGTTTTATGCGTCACGGGAGACATTGCTCATCCCCGAACAGCACAGGCACCAGCTGTGGAGGACCTCCCTCCAGTGGTCACTTTGCAAGAACAACAGGCGGAGCAGATGAAGGTTTTCTGGAAGGTAGGATTCATTCTGTCCGCAACCCTCCGTGCGGTGAATCTGACTATATTCGCAGTTCATCGAAGGTATGCTGACGAACTTGGGGCAACTCAGCCTGGATCGTATCCACGGCATGTTGAAGTTTGCGCCTGGCTACGACCGGAGTATTGAGCAATTGGCAGGGTTTATGGAGGCAGCTCGGAGAGAGGGGCTGGTGACAATGAGAGACGGGATGTGGAGATTGAACAAGTAAATAGGCGGGTCTTGTACACTGTACTGAAATACCTCGATTGCAGGGACGGTCATAGGATTATAACACACTTTCATACTGTGTAATAGGAAGTCTGGCTAAAGCATTCCTTGGAGTGGTTAGCCCCGTCCTGGGTTGGTCTACTCGACGTCAAAAAGGATGATCTCAACGGTTGTATCTCCTGTATTCGTTACCGTCAACTCTGCACCGGCATGAGCCGTAATGTAAGCACCGTCTCCTTCCCACAACTTCGTCACGGAGTTGTTGTTCCCCGCGAGATTCACCTGACCACCATTGGCTTTACCGGGGTTGTATCCTGATTTCTGTACGAGATGAATATAACCCTTGCTTGTGGTACCATGGTACGGCGTTGGGAAGGTGTGAGAGATGGATTTGCCGGGAGAGAGGAGTATTGCGAAGGCTGTAAGAGGGGAATGTACCGGTGCAGGTCCGGACGAGTCTCGTTTGTCTTCGACACCATCACTACCGACTGGCGCGACTATTCTGACCCACTTGTCACGCTTCTCTTCGTCTGTGAAGTGGCTAAAAAGACAGTGTTCAGGCCCTGAAGAGGCCAGGCACCAGGCAACGACTTCGCTCACCGGGTGTAGTAGGCGGGAGAAAGATTGCTCGTGCTTGGTGTTGACCACATCTGAAGGAAGTGGACTTGTTTATCGCCGTAAGCTTTCTCACTATGACGAATACCAGTCCCGGCGGATGTCATCTGTACGTCTCCCCGCTCGAGGATCTCGACGTTCCCCATAGAGTCGCGACTTCAGTAACAAGCTATCAGTAGGCTGGTGCGGCTTCGTTGATGACCTGTTACTCACTGCTCTAATTGGCCGCTCACGACATAGGAGAAAATCTCAAACTCCTTATGCCCATGTGTTCCGAAGCCTGTATGCGCTTGCACGCGATCTTCGTTCAACACACGAAGGTGACCGAATTGGTTGTGTTCTTGGGTCTGATACCTAAGCAATAGAATGCGTAAATATCGTGCATGCGCAGAAGATGTGTGAGTCTAGTATGGTACGGTCGGCACTTACATAGCAAACGAGAACGTATGGAAGGTCTTCAACCAGCCGTGATCGGCGTTGCCACGCTCATCGCTTCGGCGAGGGATGACTTGAAAAGAAGACATAGTTCGGGCTATTTTCCAAGAGTTACTTATGCGTTGAGCAGGAGTTCTATGGTAAAGAAGAGAGGGGGTTCGACCGCTGAGGGGTCTGAGTGCCAGGGTTGCTGGTGCAAGAGTTGAGATTGTGAGGCCGTCGGGGATAGATTCCAGCTATTTATCCACATGTCTGTGGGATCAGAAAGCACATATCCATGGGGTTGATGAGGAATACGACGAGTAATGCTGAGGCATGCTGACCAGAGTAGCCTTGCAGACAACCAAGAATTTCCTTTTTTGGTCGTGCAACGCACACCAAATTTAGGTTCCGGCGGCTTAGTCATTATGATTACGCAATCTGAGTCAGTCAAAGATTCAAACCGAAAGCTGCAACCGGTTTATGTAGATTCAAATTGATTCACCGCCCACTAGTAGCCTACCTCACGGTATCGTCGATGCCTTCAAAAAAGGAAGTAAAAGAGAGGATGCCCACTGGCTGGATTGAACAACCGACCTCACCATTTCCGAGTCACGTGACGTGTTATCACGTGTCACCACGTGACATACGAGTGGCGCGCTCTACCACTGAGCTAAACGGGCTGTGCCGAGAATCCCGGTTAGGACATCGATACTGAGTCCAGCCCCGCAAGCAGGGGCTGCACCCCTCCTTCCCTCCGAGTCTCTGGGTCCGAGTCCGGGTCCCAGGACTTTGACCACAACCGCTACCACGCTGGCCACCCGTCCATGGATCCTACCACTCTTGCACCATACGTTGAAGACGTAGAGGATTCCAGTAGTGTAGTAATCGATGGTCGCATCGTAAGCAACATTGCGTTTCTCAGAGGGCCTTGTTTCATTCAGTCTCTTGAATCCTGCAGAATTACACAGTGGGCAGACTCTTGGGCGGAGGATACTCCAGCGCCGTGTTTGAAGCTACCTGTCAACGCGGCAGACTACACGGACGCGTAGTTGCACTGAAAAAGGTGCGCTCACAACCAGCTCAGTCAACGCCATTCCTCAGACCTGCCAACTAGTTTACGCGTGTCAATGAGGACGCTAGCGATGGCGATACCTCCCTTTATGCGCAGCTTCACCAAAGTCTACACCATCCCTCTATCATTTCCCTTCACTCGTTTTTCTCTGCTCCAAGCGCTTCCTATCACGTCCTTGAATACTGCTCTTGCGACACCCTGCATGCCTGCCTCCAGTCACGAAACCCACCTCTGTTGACCGAAACCGAAACGAGGTGCGTTCTCCGGAACGTAGCTAGTGCTTTGATATATTTGCAACGAGAGCACGTCATACACCGTGATATCAAGCCTAGCAATATCTTGCTGAATGAAAACTTCTGTGCCGTGAGCCTTTGTGATGCTATTCTCCATCGTTAGAAGTTGTACTTACGAACATGCTAAACTATGTGGACAGAAGCTATCAGACTTTCATCTCGCTATTCGCCTCCCCAGTGCAACGTCAACATTGGGTACCCGCTGTGGTTCTCGCAATTTCACAGCACCGCGAGTACAGTTATTTGCTAAATCAGTCTCGGATGCTAAAGCCCTCATAGTGAGATTCTCTCCGGTCTACCATACAGCTTCCCGGTAGACGTATGGTCATTGGGATCAGTGGCAATGGTTTGTCTGTCGGGGCGCTCTCCACAAATGGCAAGTATTTCGAACAATTTTCCATATAACATCACGCTCATGTGAATGATCAAGAACGGCTGCGGGCCCTCTGAAACGATATCGTCTTCACTTGGAGACATATCGGACGAAGCAGCGGCATTACTTACTGGGCTATTGAAAACTGTATGTTTGAGCGTTTCTTTATTTCCTGACCGCCGGAACGACACTGACAGCTTGTAGGATCCGCGAGCTAGACTGCATGCAGGCCAAATCCCGTCCGACTCGTTCTTTGAGCCCTCTGTAGTGGTCTCACCACAGCGTCCCCCTCCTCAACCAATCCTAGATTCTTCACCATCGGGAACCTCCCCTCTTCGACTCAGGTATCCCAAATCTTTTGTGACGACGCGTGGTTACCGGACAATGCCTCGCGTCAGCTCTGCTCCATCAAGCGCGGTACCGATTCGTTTTCTCGATCCTCCTTCACATCGAACGGGCGACAGAAAGCGGCTGCATCATGATCCATACCCTGGTCAACATGTGGAAACTCTGCTACCTGGCCGTCGATTTTTCTCCGCGCCTCGTGATCAAAACTATATTCCCTCTGCCCAACGCACTCCTCTTCTGCCCATTTTCGCTACACCCTCCACCACCGAGGAGTCCGTCGCATCGACATATCGCTATGGTATAGATGATTCTGAAGCTGCATCCAATAAGAAGATTCCAGTTCAGCATCCCCTTTTACGACCACCAACCCTTAGTCTCAAGCCGCAAGGTCCCCAAAACTCTGATCTTGGAGATTTGGTTCCCGGTGTCTCTTTGCAGCAGTTACATGGTCGCGCCGCATGTCATACTATAACAACTACTGCAGGTACTGATCATCGAATTGCCATGAACACGTCCTACCTGGCCGTACACACTTACAAAGTAGCCAAGGGACAGCTCACGATCCTTCCGTCCATGTCACTTCTCATTGACTTTCGTGAAGGTGAACGCCGAAGCGGAAGGAAAGGCTCAGAGATTCTGCGCGTGGATCCGGAGGGCCGCTGGGTCAGAACAAGTTTCGCACTTTGACCGTTACGAAATCGCTGATGACATTCTAGATTGAAGTATTCAGCGCACCACATCTGAGTAGTCCAAGCTGTCTGATGGAACCCACTACCAGGTATGAACTGGACGAGCTGCCCGCCGCATATTATAAGCAATATGAAGATGCCTCACGCATTATCAGTCAAGTCAAGCAGCGGATACCCAAGGTTCGCCCCATATTGTTCCTCACTCGCGCTCATGTGATCGTAATCATAGCCGCTTATAGCTGATTCTTCATCGACCCGAAGCTAAGTATATATTGATGGCAAATGACCCTCATGGCGACATAGAAATCATCTCCCCGCCCCCTCAACAGAAGGGTAATAAAGATAGCGGCTCATCGACGACAGCTGTCCAGACGAGGATTCGGTTTTCAAGACATTCTCGGTTGGTAGAGGTTTCTCGCTTTTCGGGTCCCAAAAACGAAGCGGCTGTGGTCACTGGGGAATGGACCAAGAAGGCTGTCAGAGTGATATCTGAAGACATCACTGGGCTACATTACGTCGAAGCGGATACTGCTACTCTGGATACTAGGGACTGGGACAGTCTGAAGCTCCTTGCCGATTTTCTCCCCATCTGTGTTGCTGTGACAAACTGGGGACCTGAATGCTCTCGAGCTGGAGACAACCTTAAAAAGCCGGTTACATCCTCTGGTGACGCACCTCCACCTCAAGAACAGCTCTTGGAATTGCTTTCGCATCCTCAGCGCACCTCGAAACGCATGCCATACGTAAATGCACCCACAGAGACCCGTCAAAGGGAAGGCACACCTTCCAGCTCGCTGACCGCCGCGAGCGGTACATCCATATTGACTCGGATAACCGTCCCCCCTCGACCCGCAAAATTACCTACACAGCCTGTCCCGCGTCTCAACGGCCTCCCTTCCAGCAAAGGAAGTCCCGCTAGAACAAAATTCCTCCCTGATATTGGATGGTGTGCCAGTAGCAATATGAACGGTGGAGACACGCACCAACTTCTGTTCCTGGATGGCGTATCCCTTGTCGTCAATACTGGCGATGGAATTGTGAGCATGACCAGCGTCGATGGAACGCATGTTGAGTATGTTCCTTCTTGCTCATCTTTTGTGGGGTTATCTAAACAGGCTCATGTGCAGATATATGGACGGTACATGGGAGCGAAATCCTGCCGTTCATGATAGAATGATGATATTTGAGACAGTACTTGATACCATCTCTCTACCTTAGGACTTCCACGGTTACAAGCGATACCTCCACCGCTGCGCTGTAGTAGTTAGTGTATGCGCAGTACGCATCCTTCGTGGCCACACAATTTTATAAAAACCACACAGAATCCTCCAGAGGCAAGGGTCAGAGTGCTAGTGTCGCGCGGTTCGCGCGCCAAAGCTGACTCAGTAGCGCTGATTCATTGTTTGAACCTCACTTCCGTCTTCACAACTGCCCATCATCGCCTGGGTCGAGAGTCATGGGAAAGGCGGACGAGAGGACCTCAGCCAACACAATGCCACAGCTGAGAGGAACGCCGAGTAAACCACCGGTACCTCGCTTTGCATTGATCACGCCGTCTGCTTCGCCACCAGTCTCTCGTTCAGCATCCAAACGACCTCAACCGCCACCGACAAAGCGGCCACGGCTCTCGTCTACTCCTGCCCGGTCGTCTCCGTCTCTCTCTCGATCTACTCCCCAAAACTTGGCTCTTCTTGACGAACAGGGCTTGCACGAAGCACGTCGAGCATCTTCCCAACGTGTGCTGAGCATATGGGACTCATTGGCCGAGCGCTATGCAAAAGATCTGGACGAAGACGACATTGTCGATCTACGGACAGGCCTTCTCTTGAAGGACCGCGGGGTTATGCGCGCAAAGCCGAAAATACCAATAGGGTTCTTTGCTGGAGACGACCCAGAGCAGGACGATGCGGCCGGGACAGAGGCTGAGACTGAGACGACGGAAGAGGATGCGGATACGGATGTGGACCCATTGGACGCGTTTGCTCCTGAGCACGAGGAGGCAGGGGGATTCGGCCTGAAAGCAATCGTGGAGAAGGTTCCTCCGGTGCAGGAGATGGACCCCAGAGATGCGGAGGACCTGAGAGCGTTCTTAGAGGCTGAGAAACTGAGAAAGGAGAGGTGTGGCGCTGAGGGCGAAGAGGAGGATTTCGATGATGCTGATGAGGGCAACGCACGGGGTGTGCTTGCAAGTGATGATTGGGCAACCACAGACGGAGAGGACCTAGGTTCGGACGACGGAGACTCTAGCTCTGAGGACCCTTTGCTCGAACGTGTCCGACACGTAACTGCAGAACCTGCCTTGACTCTTGCGGACGACACGGACTCAGAAGATGAACTCCTAGCTTGGTCTGGAGACGAACGTATTCTCGCTCGAGCAACACCCTCTGCAGCTCGAACTCCATCTCCGACGGTTGATATCATTGACCTAACTACGCCGTCGCCACCAAGGGCCACGACTAAACGCGAGCAGTCAACATCGCGACCCAGGCAACACTCATCATCGCGAGGTCCTCCTGCCCATGAAACGACTCGACCTGCAACTCCTCCACGCTCGCCTTCCCCGGTGCAGCTGCATACACCTCCTCGATCCAAATCCCAATCTTCGCCACCCATTCCTAACATCAATGACCCCTCATTTACGTTACCTTCCCCTCCTCCACTGGTTATGTCGAAGCCAACGCCACGTTCCCGACCAAAACCCACTCCGATTGTCAAACAGCCGTCTCCAGTCGCAGCCTCTACACCCTGCACACCCACGAAAAGCTCAAGTAGATCGGATCTGAACCTAACGCACCTAACGCAAGCAGGTCGACCGAAGACGCCTTCAATAGGGTCGACAGGGCTTGTTGTTGAGGTGGTATTGCCCAAGCGGTCTGCTTCCCGAGCAAGGTCCACAGGCCCAAAA